GTTTTTTTTTAGGTTTGTTTGTTAGTTTCTTGAATTGACTCTAATATTCTGCAATTAAAGCTGTCATTACACACACTTCATTCAAGTTCAGCCATCTTTATCTTCAGAGCTGAGTTTTATTTTGCTTTTAAATTAAACTCACTTGGTGTTGGAATATTTCTGTGCTTCAGGGGTCCTTGAATCACCCTGCCGTTATCTCTGTTAACAGCAATGAAAGCAGTGAAAGAACTGCTCACTCCTGATTGGACACTGAGCTGCACCACCTTCTCCTTCACTCCTCCATCTTGTTGTCCTCCGTGCTCTCTCTCCTCCATCTCAAGGGAGCGAATCAGAGTCCGAGCACCCAACCTGTGGACTGTTAATCTGCAGACAAGAAGTAACGCACACAAAGATACTACATTTGTTTACCTGTGAATTCAATGTTTGTTATAACTGTGGCAGGAAGTGGTTGGTGGCTTGGCTGCAGGGTAGTAATGGAGCTGTGGGATGAAGGTGTGGTGTCAGGAGAGGCTGGCCTTCGCAGCTGGCGAGCATCATCTAATCATGCTTTACCTATTTCAGTGGCAGCCTTGGCCGGGGAGGGTAGATCCGATCAGAACTGCTGCAGTGGAGGAGCTGATAGCAGAGACCAGAGGTTGGAGAGCTGAGCAGTGGGCACTATAAAGTGTGGAAGTGAACACGTATTATAAAAGTCTGGATAAACATCTGGGTCATGCCAGGTCCTTTCTTGTCTACGAGTGGTGCCGAAACCCAGGCCACCATCATGTTGCACAGTCAGTGGAGGCACTGGCCAAGGTGGTGTCGGGGCTGGCAGCAATGCACCGGGAGCAGGCGGCAGTGCATTGTCAATTGGTGTGGCTCCAGCACTGTTGCTCCCCCCGGTGACGTTGCATTAGATAGGAGGGATGACGAGCCCCAAGCTTTCCCAGAAGTGGTCCAAGTGATGGTGGAGACATACTGGTGACTGCAGAAGAGTGGGCTCTCCGGCTGCTCCCATTGCTGTTAGGGGAAGCCCAGGTGGCAGCACTGAGCCTTCCTGCAACAGCGAGGGAAATCTTTCCCAGATTTGCGGAGAGCCATCCTGAACGGTTAGGGCTCTCTCCCCAGGACCATCAGCACCACTTCTGGGATAGTCGGATGTGGCCAGAGGTACAACCCTTTACGTATGCCAGGCGGCTGCACAATGCCACAGCCAAGTGGCTACAGCCTGATCTCACACCTGGGGAGACTTGGCTGCCAGTCAGGACAGTGGAGTGGGTCCGTTGCTACCGGCGGTGAGCCTTGAGGCTGTGGAGATGCTGGCTGAGGACCACCTGGCAGCATGGCCGGAACATCCACTGGAACGACTGCAACCAGTAGCGGCTTACTGACCTATTCCAGCCCCACGAAGAATGGTCCGGGTCCAGGACAGATGTACCGCATACTGGTAAGGTGCCAAGGAGATACATTTGGTCTGTATGCAGTCCCTGGTCCAGCAAGCCCTGATTGCCCTGGCAGCATTGCTGGAGGTTAGGTGCATGCATGGGGATATTCATAAATATTGCTCTGGATAGAATAATGGCTCAATTTCACTGGTCGGGCATATGGGAGAACGTGCCCTGCTGGGGCATGTCCTCCCTGGAGTGTCACCTGGTTAACCAGCTGACCATTCCAAAATAGTCAGCTTTGTGGCCATTGCCATTAATAGAGGGTCTATTTGAGTGCATTGGCATGAACCCCATTTCACCGGAGTGTATGTTATGTTAGTTCTGGTGGATTATACAGAAAGCCATGCCGCCGAGTACTAGTGTGCCCCAGGCACTGTTTCAGGTCGTCTCCCAAGTTGCCATCTTGAAAGAGACATTGATTGACCCAGGCACGTCATTCATATCGCACGCTAAAAGAGCTGTTTGAATTATTGGACAATAAATCTATTCGGACCAGCATCTTCCACCATCAGACTGATGGGTTGGTGGAGCAGCTGAATGAGAATTTGAAGTTCATTCATGAGGATGAACACAATTGGGATCACTGTTGTTTGCAGTGCAGG